AATAGTGGAATCATTCTCAGTTTAGAAATGCATGCAAAAGCCCTTCCCTGGTGAGAGGAGATCATGAATGCCAAGGAGGAAAACAAACTGAAAGCATAACAAGAGTGTGGGGAGCTGGGCTATGAATGAGTCTCAGGGGATAGTAGACAAGGCCAGCTGGGGAGAGCTCACCAGGGAGAGCTGTTAAATCACCTAGGAAGCCTGAAATGTCAGCCTCTTTGATTGGAGAGCATCTAAGGGTATGTTTCTTCTCTAGCTTCAATGTCCTTCCCAAATATAATCACCAGTCCTTTCCTGAATTATTCATGCTGTGAGTTGTGAAGGTGGAGCTTCCAGAAACTTCAGGATTTAGGACATTCAGCTTTATCTCCCTGGAGCTTTAGCTCCAGCCATGCTACCCTGGGATTGAGCTGCTGGTGACATGTGCCAAGCTTTTTGCAGCTGGCATTTGGCCAGTAACCTTGGGCTACTGAGCTTTGAGTCATTCCAGCAATCTTTTATTGAGTAATACTATGTGCTCGGGATAGTTCTGGGTTCTCTTGGGAACACAGAAGTAAATCCAATCAGATCTTTGTCCTTGATGATCTGCCAGACAGCAGAGGGGGCAAGCTCTTAAAAAGTATTCCCTTCTGAATCCTGTTCAGAAGAAGAATCCTGTTCAGAATAAACTCCTGTCTATTGCAGCGCTATTTGCTATAGCTAAGATATGGAAACAGCCCAAATGCTCCAAAACAGACGATTAGATCAAGAAGTTGTGGTCTATAGACACAATGGAATATTACTCACCAATGAAAACAAATTCATGCCATTTGTGGCAACACAGATGAAGCTGTAAGGGATTATGCTAGGCGAAATAAGTCAGAGGGAGGGAAAATATAGGATGGTCACTTGTCTAAGGAAGCTGAACAAAGTATCAGGAATGACAAAACTTGCAGGCAAACTGTAGATCTGAGGCATACAGAGGGGGGATTAGGAAGGAGGGGTCAAAACAGGGAAGGGGGGTCCTCCCTGGTGACACAGCGTGTTAAAGCGTAGCACTGAGAAGCTCAAGCCACTTCAGCATGAGTTCGATCCCCGCCTCGGAGGCGACCACATGACACGGCAGACCTCTCCTGACCCACCCGCTGCTCCCCTCAGCAGTGTACTTGGCCAGTCGGCCTGTTCTGCTCCCCATTCTGTCTCTGGTGAATCCTCTCACTGTCCCTGCGCCTCTGGCCTGTACCCCAGTTCTGTATGAATAAATAAATAAATTTTAAAAAACAAAAAACAGGGAAG